GGCCGGGCTGCTTCCCGCTGCTGCGCGGCAGCTGCCCTAGGCGCCTTCAGCGGGAGGATTTGCTGCAGATGGGATTTTTGAAGGAAGTCTTACAAAAAGGGATTCGCTTTCTGCCAAAAAGTCTTTCCTTGGGGGATGAACCTGATGGTGTTGGCTGAGACCCTCCTCTGAACTTTTACCTCCCGGCCAAAAACCAACAGGCAGGCAAAGTTTTGCTGAGGGGAGGGAGTGTTGGTGTCGATCCTGCATCCACTGCCACCCTCGCCCCCGGCAGCACCCTCCCGCCCCGCGGGAGCCTGGCCCATGCTGGCAGCACCTTCACATGGCTGGCAGAGGTGACACGCAGCCCGGGCCGCTCCAGGAAGCGCCCGAGACGAATTGGCTTTGCAAAGTGAGGCTGTTTGAGCCGTTTCCAGTGGACACCAGAAGCACTACCAGCACGGCAACATATAGTCCCCCCTCGGTACCACCCCCCTAACTAATCCCTGTGGTGCTATGAACCCAGCAGTACAGACGAGGCCTTGTCACTGGAGGACAAAGATCTGAGGGACCGGGAGAGGAGAATGGCCAATAACGCCAGGGAAAGGGTGCGTGTGCGGGACATTAACGAGGCCTTTAAAGAACTGGGACGCATGTGTCAGATGCACTTAAAAACGGACAAAGCACAGACCAAACTGATCATCCTACAGCAAGCGGTGCAGGTCATTCTGGGCCTGGAGCAGCAAGTACGAGGTATGGTAACAGCTGGCCAGGGGCATTTCGGGGCCTTTCTCTCCCCCAGCATCTCTGTCTGCGTGCGCGTCTCTGTTGTGACTCCTGCTTCCGGTGCGAGGTTGTGTGTTTGCATCGCCAGCGGCACCTTCGGGTGCACTGCACGGCAGGCTGAGCTTTCCGAAGCCCCGCTCCGGGGTGGATTCGAGGCCGCTCTGTCCATCTCCCCCGTGCTTAATGGGAATTTGGCACCTGGATCCTATTAAGCAGCTTTGGAAAACTCAGTCCTCAACTCCGAGAGCTGGCTGAGGCCCTTGGGGTGTCTGTAAGCGGGCACGTTTCAATTGGCATGGCGTTTCAGCCGGGCACGGGGTTTTGCTGTAGCAGGAGTCCGGCCAAGTGACTGCAGCGAGCGGCAAGGCAAAGAGCAGCTTGCACTGAGGTTTCCTCGCATGGTCCTGTGTGTCTGTCCTGGGACTCTGTCCTTGCTCTCTCTTTCGGATGCTGCTGCCGTGCGCGATGCTCTTGCCCAAACTGAGGTTGCTTCCCTCCCTCCCTTGCTGTTTTTGGCATAGAGCGCAATCTGAACCCTAAAGCAGCCTGCTTGAAGCGTCGGGAAGAGGAGAAAGTGTCCGGAGTAGTAGGAGATCCCCAGATGACACTTTCAGCTTCACATCCTGGTCTAGGAGATGGTCACAACCCTGTCGGACACATGTAAAGGTATCGTCCCCTGCCCCGTGATCCCAGCACACTGCTCTGCTTCGGCAGCTCAGCCCCGCTCGTTTGGCGCCAGCCAACATCCCTAATTTACCTTAAGTCAATGACTTGCATGTGCATGTGGTTTGCTCACCCCTGGCTACCCAAAGCCTCGGCCCCCGCAGGAGAGGTGCAGCCTCGTAGCCAGGATGGAGGGTTTTGGTGCCCTCACCACCCTGAGTGGGCTCTGCACCCCCCAGCCCTGCCCCGTTGGCTACTGGAAACCAGCAACTCCTTTGTCTATGGGAGGGAATGAGCAGGTCCCAGAAATGCCAAGAAAGACACAGAAGGTGAAATTGCTCCAGCGAGACCGTGGCAGGCGCAGGCTCTGCTGGGCTGTCCCTGTTTTAAGGGAACCCTCGTGCTTGGGCAGGAATAGCTGAGCCTGTTTGGCCTGAGCGGTGCCGGGATGTGGATGGGGGATTGAGCAGGTCCAGGAGCGGAGGGTCAGAGGCTGACCCCATCACCCCATCAGCGGGGCTCCCCTGTGCAGGGCCGCAATGCCTCAGCCTGTAGCACCCAGGTGCCCTGGAGTGCACGGAGGGGCTGTGGTCCCCTGACACCCCCTGCGCCAGGGGCTGCCCTGAAAAGAAAAGGCAAAGCTGATGTCTTGGCAGAATAGCCAGCCTGAGTCTCGGCTCCGCTGCGGCCACATCGAGCCCTCGGAGCTGACTTCTGTGGAGACGAGGCTGTGGCAGGGGTCTTGCAGCCCTCCCATGCAAGGAGTAGAGTTTTATTCTTCTTGGGGTTTCTCTTACTTCAGGCTTCTGTTGTTTGTTTTTTTCTGTTTGTAGATCTTTTTGTTCCTCTGGATAGAGAGATCTGTAGGAAGAAAACCCTTGGTGTGACCTGCGACCTTCTCGAACCATAAACTTTAGTACTGCTAATACTGACACACGTGGATGGATCCTGGCATGACGTAAGGGGTGGAAAAAACACTTTCTCAAAAACAAAATGAAAACAAAAAAATTGCCTTAAGTATAAAGTGCGGAACAGTCAATACATATCACTCAGTTAGGAGGGGGTGGCGTGTTCTCTTGGCTTGTTCACAAGCAGCCAGCAGCAAAATTGTGCCTAAGCTTGATATTTCTTTTTTAAAAAAAAAAGAACATTAGTTACGAGATTTTTTATGTAGAACAAATAGCAATGCCTTTTGGTTTTTTTAGCTTCTTTTGCATATGTTTTGTAAGCAACGAAAAGAATTTTTTTTTGTATAAAAAAAAGTCTTGTACCCCACGCTTTTCTGCTGCTGTTTCTATAGTTAACGTTGCATCTTTAGGATCAACCAGAATATTAAAATTGTATTAAGAGAGACTGGATATAAAGAGAGGAATTCTCAGATTCGGCTCTGAAAGCCACTAAAAGCGAATGTAGCCACAGCGAGGGGATGTTCTTCCTTGCCTGGCTTGTACCTTCCATTATAAAAAACAAACTCACTCATGCTGAATTCACCATCTCTTTGCTTTGGCCACTTCTGATTTGGGAAAAGGAAGTTAAACAGCAAAGCAAGTTGCAGCAGGACCCCTCTGCGGTGCTCCTGCTCCTCCCGGGAGGTGACCGAGGCCCGTCGGGGGTCTCTGCAAGATGTGCTTTACTCCTGGAGCATCCCAGGGGCGGTGGTCCCACCTGGGAGAGGAGGTGCCCCACGGCTGTCCCGGAGCGTTGTGATGGGGAGGATGAGCTGCTGGGAGAGAGCGAGAGGCCTTGGGGTGGAAGAGATCTGAGGGACTAGGGCGCTTTTGAGGTAAGAAGCAACGTGGATACAAGAGGAAAACCCTGGGCGGAGGAAAGTGCCCACACACGTGAGCAAACGCTGGTGCTCAGGGGGCAGCGCTGAACAAAGCTGGAGGACTGGGAAGAGGCAGAGGCTGACAGGCAGCAGTGGGACACTGCACGGCGACCTCGCAGCAGATGGACCCGTAGATGCTGGCAACGGGCAGGACAGGGAGCAGCTACCCAGCACATGGGCTTGCTCCAGCCCTCAGCGAGCCACGACTGGCGCCAGGATCCCTGTCTCCACTCAGCTTCTCCCCACACTGGAGCTACCACCGTTGGAAATGCAAAACGCTGCAGGCTCAGGGAGAGGGGTGGTTTCACACTCCGCCTGCACCCACTGTCGTATCCAAAGCATCCTCGGACGCAAACTCAGCTCAGCATGCCGCCCGCCTTGCCATGGGGATGCCGTGGCCGCTGTCACCTGCACGTGGGCTCCTCCCTCCGTGCTGGAGAGGAGGGGAGCAGCGAGCGCCTGTCCTGCACAAGATGCTCCAGCAGCCAAGCTGGGCCAACAGTCCCTTCGCTTGGAGGGCTTCCCAGTGTCACCCCAGACAGCTCCGGTGTGCTCAGCGGGAGGAAGACCCCCGGCAGCCCCATCGCGTGCCAGGGTGCCCCCGAGGTGCGGGAGCAAAGGAAGAGGTGCTCAGTGGTGCTGAGCTGCGGCAGCCGTTCCAGAGCTGGCAATGGAAGAGGGGCCACTG